TTGTTCTCTAGAAATATTTGGTTCTGAGTCAACTTTATTTGTTTTTTCAATCTAAAACAAATAAATACAAGAATTAAACTTTTTGTCATTATCATTAAGTTAGTGATTTATAAAAAATCTAAAAAGTAAAAAAAAGATATTGAGATATTTTTATAAATCACTATATCAAAATTTAATTTCTCCAAAAATAGTTATATTAGAATTATTTACTAACAAACATATTTTATTATTACTTGATTAATCTGTGCAAACAATTATAATCTTCTAGAATCATTTGGTTGAGTTTTTCTTCTTTTTTAAATTTTTTAAATTTGCTCTCATTTCTAATTGCTGCTGATACTCCTCTTTTCAATTTACTACTTGTTTTATTTTGATTCTATTGTGTTAACTCCACCAATATAGTGATGTGCAATCTTCCAACTTAGTCTCTCTGTGAGCTGATAAAGCTGAGTTCCATAACAGGAATTTATTTTCACGTACACACTTAATATGTGCCTGCTTTTTACAGCCTTGATCACAACCATACTCAGAACAAAACATAATTAAACATTTGCAGGATAAAATATCAACGAGTTTGTTGATTTTTGGAGTGAAACTATCCTTTATTGATTTTTTTCCATTTCCGTTTAATACTACATTCTTTTATTACTACTGGGTGCAATTAATTTTTATTAAGCAGATAAAGCTAGAGTCATATCATTAACTAGTTGATCGGCAGTTTAATTTCTTTTATTAAGTTCACTGGTCTCTCTCTAAAATATTCCATATTGTAAAATTTTCCTTGCAGAAGGAGCTCAGATGGTAAAAGAGGTTTTCCTTTTACTTAAGAAAGTAGCCATTATTTTTGTTAAAATATCCAAGTAATTTTATTTTTAATTTATTTTTAGCTAAGCGTTGAAGTTTTGAAGTTTTTTAAGGTCTGAGATAAATTTCTTTCACTTAAAGTTTAATTTTTTAACAGAAAAATAAAATATGTCATTGTTTCAACGATTTTTAAATTATTAGCAAAAAAAACCCAAAAAATATAGCTACCACTTAATTTAATTTCAGTTTCAACTCATATCTATCATCATTTCTATAATTTACATCATTATTATAAAGTTTCATTCTATTTGTTTCTATTTTAGTGTCACTAACTATAACTATATACTATGTGTCAAAACAACTTACACTTTTAGATATTTAAGATGGTTACTCAGACCTTGGCAAGAAGTAAGAGGTTTAGTCCACACACCCCTAAAGTGGTTTACGGGAACAATTTATGGTTCTCGCAAAAGTATAAGTCTTTCATAAATGAATCATTTATTACTTTCTTTTTTTCTCTATTTTCAGATTAGAAAAATTAAAAATTTTTGTTCACATTATATAGAATAAAAAAGACAAAGTTTGAGTTACAGATTGGTTTTTGTTTATTTACGATTATTACAATGTTTATTTTACATAATTTTTGTACTGCTTATTTAATTATGTACTGCTTATTAACTACTTATCAATTTTCAGGTTTTAATGGATTATTAGTATATAAAAGAAATTCTATCAGTTAGTATAAAACTGGCATAGATTAAAGCACTTCTGGTATTATTATATAACACATGATTTGGTAGAAAAATACGTATTCCCTACATATAAAATTATTCCGTTTTTTCTTTCTCTTGAAAAATTTGCAAAATTACATCATTTTTAGGAGTTACATCATTTTTGCACTGAGGTCTTCAATTGTTTTTTTTTTGGTAAAGAATTTTAGTATTATAAATGTAGGGTTTCCGAGTAACAGTAGTTTTTGAAAAACAGCTGTTATCAGCTGTTTTACTGTTTTTATTTAAATTTGGAATATTTTTATATGAGTGCTTGTAGGTGCCTAATATGCAGGAAGGGACGCTTATTAATTTTCAGAAAATTTTCCCACCAACTAAATCTGCACTAAATTCTAAATTCCTAGTTTCTTGAGTTGACTTTTTTTCAATGAATTGGTTTCATTGGATTCAAAGAATGGCTCTTTTACTTACTTTTTTTTTACTTACACGAGTAAGTTAATTTTTATCAAAAAGTAAATTACATAATAATTTTAAATGTTTTATTTAAATTTACATTTCTGTATAAGTAATTAATTTTTTTGAAACGACTTTTACTTTATAAAGTTTTTTTACTTTCAAAAGTAAGTTATGTATAAGAAGATTATATCAAGAAGTAATTTACTATTACATGTAAAAGCTGTTTATTTTTACATTTAGAAGTTAGTTACTTTTGAAAATTATATTACATAATATAAAAGTTCCTTAAACCGTAATTTACATTTACCTATAAAAGTTTAATTAGAAATTAATTAAGAAAATTAGAAACTAATTAAGAAAAAATGTATTAAAAGTCATTAACATATAAAAGTAAATTACATGAAAGTAATATGCTAGCAAATGTAAATTAAATTTTATCTTTGACACTTTGTTTCACCATTAGTGGGTTCATTAGGAAGTCACTAACCAAAAAATTATAAGTTCAGTGCACTTAAAAATTTTATACAGTATTGGACAAAACATTTGCAACCAACATCGAACAATGCTAAAAAGTGTTCCTAATTTTACATGTCTTAAAAACGAAACGAACTATACTACCATAGCAAACAGTTCAGGAGTCTAGAGTCATAGCATGCCATGACATGAGCAATCAGCTGACAGGTGACAGCACACAGGCAGAATTTTGTTGACAAGTGCCACTTTGCAGCGGATAAAACAAGTGCAATTTTTTTTTGGTTTGTTTCATTTTTTAAAATCTGGTCCGTGCCAACGTCACGGAAGTTTTTTAATAATTAAAGGAAGTATCCACAAGTTTCCAGAAGTATGCAAAAGCTTCCAGAAGTTTCCAGAAGAAGCATCTGAAAGTATTTAGAAACATTCAGAAGCATCAAAAAGAAGCATCTAGAATCTTCCAGAACAGGTTCACACAGGTTCATTTTACTATATAAGAGCCATGTAAACCAACATGTAATTTAGTCAGTATGTGGAAGTCAATCAGTCAGTATTATCAAGACAGTTTATCGAAGTGAGTTTTATCAAAGTGTTTTATCGAAGAACATCAATACAAGAAGTGAAATACAACAAGTGTTTTATTACATCAATACAGTCCACATCCAACCAAGACATTGTGTTCCATAGAGCATTATTGTATTATCACAAGGTAATTGTAACACGGTAAGCCTTGAGAATTATTTAATTTTTTTGTGATTATTTATTTTTATTATTTTTATGACTTCAAGTGCAAAATGGCTCCTGACAGTCTTGGATTGAAACTAAGAAAGAAAATTATTGGCGATTACGTAAGTGGAATGTCACAAAAAAGTATTTGTGATAAATATTGCGTGAAAAAATGGACCGTATCAAGACTATGTTCCAAATATCGTTTTACGGGGAAGTTGGCATCAGATGACTGATTTTTGTTTATTTACAAAGGTGGAACTACTGCGTTCCACCACTTTTAGAGAAGATTCTATGATCGTCAGATCCGTCAAGAAGGATCCCTGGATATCATCAGTCGAGATACATAAGCAATTAGAGCTGCCTGTATCGGACTGTACAATAAGACGACGTGCTGTTGAAGCCGGATTGTTTTCTCGATGCCCTGCAAAGAAACCGCTGATTTCACTAAAGAACCAGAAGAAAAGACTCCTGTTTGCTACATCTCATATTGACTGGAATGTGCAGAAATGGCGAACTGTCCTGTTCAGTGATGAATCGAAGTTCAACATCATTGGGAGCGATGACATTTGCCGTGTACGTTGTGAAGGTGTTCGTAATAAGGATCAACTGTTTGAACCAATCCAAAAGGCCTAGGCAGCGATTCCACAAAGTTTCATTGATCACCTGATCGAATCTATGCCTCGAAGATGCAAAGCTTTAGTTGACAACATTGGATTCGCCACAAAATATTGATAGCAAAATACAGCTTGGTCAACATTTTGTGGAGTTGCACTTGTTTTGTCCAGAAGGAAATCAACTTTTTTTAATACTTTTGATTAACTTATTAGTTTTTGTGTACAAATAATGAACTTTGTCATAAATAAAACTTGAAGAACGTCGTCTCTAAACAGTTACATAGTTATTTCTCTAAATTGAATAAATGCAGCACTTTTATATAAAGAAACTAAATTAGCATTATTTGGTTGCACATTTTTTTAAATAAAGGATAAACTATATAAATATGGTACAGTATATATTATAGCTTATTTATTATAAGAGTAAACTTATTTATTTAAGCTTGTTTTGATTGTATACCTTTTTTTTTTCCTAATATTCCTCCAGTAGCACTTTTAACCGTAGGATATACCAGGGTTATATTTTGGCGTTAACTTTATTTCCGATAGCTAAATTTACTCTTGCCTTTAACCAAACGGAGACATAAGAATACGAGTTTATTTTATCGCGTTAAAAACTGCCGTTGTACTTTTAACCAGCCGATAGCTTATCGCAGGTTTTAACGGAGAGAAGTTACTACGGCTGATATATTGTATAATATTTTTATTCAATTTAAATTTATACATGTATTACAGTGTAAAATATTATGATGTATATAATATTATAATTAGTGATGTACCGATAGCAAAGGCCGATTGTGATAATTTTTTAATGTATTTATATAAGGTTGTTACAATAGTATTAAGGATGTAAAACATCAGCAGTGACTCGACATGTTATTAACCTATGTTATTGGTAACCAGCAACCAATTAATCGGCTTAACCATCGGCCGATTGCGTCGGTTGGTTAATCAGCATTGGCTCATGCATCGGCATTGACTAATAAGCCAAACCAAATCGGTGCATAGGCGCACCTTATATATGCGAATTGCTTAACTTATATTTATATAATAACTTTATATACATACATTAAACCCAATCATTAACCTCAATCGGCCTTTGCTATCGTTACATCAATAGTTATAATCTCGAATATTATTTAATTATTGTTTATTTGTTTATAATTATTATTTGGTGTTTAATTATTATTTTTAGATCGTCTATTATGCGAAAATTTTAAAAGTCATGACAATAACTTATTCATTGAATGTTTTTATGAAAGTCAGTCATCATTTACTAATAAAATTAAATCCATCGTCACTAAACGAAAATGGTGCATTTTGATTGACGATAAAAAAACTACTTACGCAACTTCTTGCGAAAATTATTTCCTAAATCTCTACATAAAATCTAGAGGAAAGTTAGCGTGGTTAGAAGTTGATAAAAATGTTTTACGTGATGAAGAAAGAAATCTTATAATTAAATGTTCAACTAATGTTCGTAATGTCAAATTTCATCGTCCAATTCAATTCGAAAGATGGAAACCGAAAAAGAAGATTCAATGGTTATTGGTGCACATTTCAAATTATATAATAACGAAAAGTGATTTTAAAGAAAACTTTCTCCCATGGATCAATCTCTGTAAAGGATTAGAACTTTTTCTTCACGACGATATCGACTTTATTGATGATATTTTTGAATGGATTCGCTGTTCGAATATCAAGGAGTTTTTGGTAGAGTACCGTGGAAAATATTTCGTTACCTCAATAAATTAAAAAACTTGTGTTATTTAACTAAATAACTTTATGTTTACTTAAGTAAGAAATTTACTAAATAAAATTTTTATAATTAAAATTAATAATCTGTATATATATTTTTAATATTTTATGTAGGATAAGAAAAGGATATATTTTAGCAGGAGAATACCCCTCTAAAAGACACCTAAAGCTATTTATTTGTTTAGATATTTGGGTATCGTAGCTAGATAAATAATTTTTCTTATAGTTTTTTTAATTTCTATTTTTTTTACATTATTGATACGTTAATAATGATTATTTACTTTTTCTCAATGTTTTTACCTTTTTGAAAATGTAGGGTGAATTTTTTTTTATTACTTTTTAGCAAAATTAATTTTTTAATTCATTTTTAAGTTTTCTCTTTTGAACTCTAGATTTATGTTTGTAATTTGAGTTTGATATGGTGTTTGAATAACTCGACAATTTAAAAAAATAATTTTCCTTTCGAGACATCATTTAAATCCTGAACAACAAATATAACTTTTAAGGAAGTAAAAGTTTAGTTTTGGAACATCAGAATCATTATATTTTTAAATGATATATATATATATATATATATATATATATATATATATATATATATATATATATATATATATATATATATATATATTAGGGTATATATATATATATATATATTAGGTATATATATATATATATATATATATATATATATATATATATATATATATATATATATATATATATATATATATATATATATATATATATTAGGGTGGGTCATAAATTTTTTTTTAGAGTTGCTAACGTGGCTGTGGTCTAGAAAGTTGTTTTTTTATGTACTAATTTAGTAAAGTATTTACTTTTATGGATTGAACAATGCCTTCCACCTGCAACTATAATTACAAAAATTAGCAGGCCCTATTATTATTCAAAAAAAATGTTTTTCAAAATTATGTGATATAGGTACTCAAATAAAGCTAAATTTTATAAAAATTTCAAAAATTATAATTTTTTCATATAAAAATTGTTATTTTTGATTTTATTGCATAATAACTATAGTTTTTTAACTGAAAGTGAAAAAGGTGCATTTTTACATGTTTTTTAATAACAATTTTTTTCGGCAATATGATTTTTATAAAACGATTATTATTTTCGAATTTTTTATAAAATTTCCCTTCTTTTGAGTACTAGGTTGACCTACTTTTGAAAAACTTTTTTTCTCTAAAATATTAGGGTACCGGTAATTTTCCCAATAAAGTTGCGCCCTTCAAATCTATCACAATCATTCTCATATTTGATAGTATCAATGTTAATAACTATTAGCAATGTTTAGAGCCTGTAACAAGAAAAAAAAAATTTTTGACTTACCCTAATATATATATATATATATATATATATATATATATATATATATATAAATATATATATATATATATATATATATATATATATATATATATATATATATATATATTAATCACCCGCTGTATATTATACAAGGTAAATTATTATAAAGTTACATTTTTGACAAGAAATTTTTTATCTTGGAATATTTACTTCAAGAATATCACTCCAATGAGTTCCTGAACTCAATTGCATAGCTTAACTTTTGAAGATCTTTTTTAGAAATTATATTTTTCAACACAATAATTTTTACTTTTTTTTTTGTTTTGCATTAAGCTCTCTAGATTGACTTCATTCTGATTGCATAAACCTATAACATTATCTAGAAAAGGGTGCTTAGCGATTAGGTTTTTAAACTGCGAATTTACAATACCAATGGTTGTTTTAATGCTCAATTTGCAAATAAATAAGTTTAACTTGTTTTGCTGTAAATAAATAAGTTTAACTTGTTCATCATGGATGAAAAACAAAGAATGAATATAATTTTTGCTGTGTTTGGAAATATTGAAGAGTGATTTAGGTGCATTCCTCCCTCATATATATATATATATATATATATATATATATATATATATATATATATATATATATATATATATATATATATATATATATATATTGCTGAACTCAAATTATTTCGGAATAATTTTTTTTTTTTTTTTAGTTTATTGATTTGATAACAAAGTTCAACTAATGTAAAATGATTAACCTGAAAGATTACTGACCAAATTATGCTAACCAATCCATTAGCGAAGAAAAAAGTTTACACAACGGTCTCCATAATAGTTTCAAGACCATAGTGCTCTTAAGTGCAAATATAAATGTTAAGTTATTTGTTAACGTTAACGACTAATAACTTATAATTTATAACGAAGTTGATTTTGGCTTCAAAAATCAGCGTAAAAAAACGGCAATACACAAAATAAGTATATAACTCAAATTGCTATTTAGATGATCACTCTGACGACACACTGAAATAGGTTGCTGTCGGGGGCTTCAGTACATACATCGACTGATAAATAGCCTGACTCACAACGGAGTGCTGCTGCATCGACTGAGGGTTTGGAATGGTCAGCTATCTTTTCTTTCATTATTCTTCGTATTTTTCTGAAAACGTTGTATGCTATAAAGATTAGCAAAACTCGTTAGCAAATGCTTATCTAAATACGCTAAATATATTTTTATATAGCGATATATATATATATATATATATATATATATATATATATATATATATATATATATATATATATATATATATATATATATATATATATATATATATATATATATGAAGGGTGCAAGGGAAAAACAGGGAATGTCAGTTTTTGAAAATATTGAGATTTTTTAATCAAAATGTTCTACAAATTATAAGCTTCCTTCAGTGTTATATTTGAAGCAAATAAATACAATTTAATGGTCTAATTTAGTGATGAGAAAATACCCCTGCTTTGTATTTTCTCATCACTAAATTAGACCATTAAATTTTATTTATTTGCTTCAAATATAACACTGAAGGTAGCTTATAATTTGTAAAACAGGGAATGTTCTAATGTTGCAACCGTAAAACCGGAAATGTTTTGTTGTTTTTATTAGCAAAAATACGGTAAAAGAAAATGGCGGACATGCATCCAGAAAAAAGCGGCTATTTCCTGAGATCAGATCCCTATTTTGATTGGACGAAAAATTTGACTAGCGCTAGGTCCGAAAAATTGTTTCTCGTTAGCCGGTGTCACGTTAAATAAGTGGATCGTTACAGTCATTATGGGTAATTTTGAACGGTTTGCGCTAGGTTTATCTCTACAAAAATTGTTTTACTAACTAGATAACAAATATTTTTATATAAAGGGTGTTCTGATGATCTCCTTTTTTTTAGTTTGTTATCATTTTTTTAAATTTGCTAGATATTATGTAAAAAAACAATGTTCAAGTAGGCGTTCAAAGTTACCCTCGCATTTCGGGTAACTTTGAACACTATTAAACTAAATGTCAATTTTAATTTTTTAAGTCTAAAAAGTTGTTTAAATTTCTTTGTATTAGTTTAAATTAATTTTTTAAAAAATCTAGTTAAACTATTTCGAGAAATAACAAACAAGTTTTTCAATAAAATATTTCGAGAATAAACATATCCAAACTCTTTAGTTAATCCTTTTCTTTACGCATACGCTAGTCGAACGTTTCGTAAGGAGTTTAAAAATTTACTTCTCTGCGGATTTCTTCGTAATTATATTTCGGGTTCTAATAAGTCACACTCTAACTATTGCACCAACCACAATACAAATTATCACGAATACAAAAAATTATCACAAAGCGTTTCGACTGAAATTATATAAATGTTTTTATGTGTCGGCAATTTGTACGTAAAAGATATATTATTTCAAGAACAAACTTAAAAATAAAAGTAATATATTTTTAAACAATTATTTTTTAAACAACAAGGAAAACAGTTCAAGAGTATGTTTTGTTACTCAAAAAAGTCCATATGATAAATTTTTCTTGTGAACTTAAATTATCAAATTTTAAATTGTTTTATTTTTAGTTGAAAAATTGTATAGTTCAAAATTTTAGAGTTCTATACAGGAAATATTTATCTTTTGCCAGTGGTATTTAGGAGATAAGTAGTAAATATTGTTTCCATAATGATATTAGTTAAATATTTTTTACTGTTTTTGAAAAATATTGAATCTATTTCAGAATTTCCAAGAAACTTAAAAATAAATTCCATATATTTTTTTTATATTGAATTTATTAAACTTTTTTTTGTGTTTTGCTTTATTTACGACACAAATATTTTTTCATCCTTAGGTTCTGATGTTTTGTTTTACCAGTATTTTGCAGCATCATTAGGTGTAAATTTTAACATTTAGCAAGTGTTGGTGCAATACATTTTTAAATTAATTTCTTTGTGTTTGCTTTGTTAGATTCCATTTCTATTAATTGTGAAAGATTCATCAAATGTAAAGCATTCAGCTTTCTTTTACTTGATTCTTGATTCATGGGTACCTTAAGCGTTCCTTTCAATGTTACCCCAAAACTGAAATATGCATTTAAAGAATAGATACTACAAAATAATTTCGAATGTTTAGTATTAATAAACAAAATCAATAAAATATATTCGAAAAAATACTACAGAATACTACTTAAAACTTAAGGGACAACTACCCTCGCATTTTTTTAAAAATTTGATTTTTTTTTTAATAATTTTAGACCAAAAATTTATGCAGATTTTGAATCTGCAAAAAAATCAAACATTTCTTTATAAGTTTTTGTTTAATTTATGTTTTTTTGAACTCAAGTAAAAAATATTTGCCTAGCAACGCGTTGTTACGGGGGCGAATATTTTGTTTGTGAATATATCCTGGAGTACTGTTTCAAATATATGCTTTGATTTATATCTTCTTTGCTAATTAATATTCTATTTCTTATCATATTTAAATATAGGCCATTTACAATTGCTACCTAAATTCGATTTTATCAAGTTATCAATTTTTTATATAACAGCAGAAATTAGAAAGTATGACAAAACCTACTGATTTGGGTGTTATTTTGAACAAAAATATTAATGATAGAGTAAAGCAGAGAACAAAATATCACAAAAAAAAGAAGAAGATTTAATGTGAAGAAAAATAAAAATGCATGTAATGTAAGTGAATGTGACTCTAATGAAAGAAATATTTTAGGCGCATCAGCTAAAAAAGTAAAAGTTGTTATAAATGTACCAAGTAAAAACATTAAGAGAATTACTGGTTACATAATTATAAACACTGAAATTTTATCTAAAGTTCTTTCATTGTTAATGTGTCCTCAATGTG